TGTTGTTCACTGTGGTTTGTTGTTGTCTGAAGTCATGAACGTTAGTTGGTGCTCCAGTATAATCGGTACGCCTGAAACTCATCCAGTGAGAAACGTTCCGCGGTGCAAAAATAAGTGCGATTAAAATGCGTTAATTTTTTTAACGCGTTAATTTTTGTGTAATTAATTAATCTTAATTAACGCGTTAAACTCCCGGCCCTAATATATATATATATATGAAATAACAGTATACACACATATATATATATATATATATATATATATATATATATATATATATATATATGTGTGTATACTGTTATTTCACACACGCTAAATGGAGGAATTATTTCTGATTTGAGTTACATTTTTGAAAGAATAATCCAGTGAAGTAATCAAAGTTTTTTCCATATTTGTTTTCACAGTGATGAAGACAAGTATTAAATGGCTTCTGGATCACAGCCATCAACATCTGCCTCATCCGAGCTACGACGTGCATCAGATCAGCATACAGTTGCCCCAGAGCCATCAACATCCAAGCTACGCCGCCGGACGTCTGCACCAGTACTAACTCAGCCTCCCTCTGCATCTTCTGATTCAGTGAACAGACTGTCAGGATGAAAGTGAAAGGGGCTGGTGTGTGGAAGACTAAGGTTGTTACCGTTCCTGACGCTGTGGTGGACTACAACAGAAGCATGGGCTGCGTGGATGTGTCCGATGCTTTGATTGGGTACTACAGTGTTCACCACAAAACCATGAAATGGTACAAGACCTTTTTTTTTACCATTTTCTGGACATTGCAGTGGTGAACAGCTTCCTTCTCCACAAGGAGCTGCACAAGATGAGGGGTGACCCCGGCAGGACGAAGCCACACACCCAGAAGTCCTTCAGGGAGCAGCTTGCTGCAGACATGAGGGGTGAAGTCCCCCCCCCCATCATCACTCGTATGCATTCCCAAGTATTATGGGGAAGATGCCACTGCACTCAGGAGGTGCTCTGATGCTGGCAACACAACGGTGAAGACCTATCTACTGCACTAAGTGCCTGGTGCCTCAATTCAAAAACACTAAACACATTCAGGTTGTGTACATTTTTTCTTTTTTGCCAGTATTTACAAAAAAAAATGCTCGTGGTGTTATTTCGGTTTTAGTGTCGTTTTTTTGTGTTATTTTTTAAATAAATCTGCTCAAGACAAGAGACAAGTGTATCCTATGTTTCCTAATTGTTATTGTGTAAGTAAACCTTCCTAGAAGTGTTAGTCGGGTGATAAACATGTAAGGGCTGTGGCAAAGTCCACACACAGACACACACACACCATTTACATACAAAAAAAAATGTAATTTAAAAATATATATATTTTTTTTTTTAAACAGTTGTATTTGGATGGAATGATTACTTGTAGTGATAATACAATTATTTTTACAGTATGGTACCTGAAAAAGGTCAAATGGCACTGATGGTATCCAAATGTGCCCAAATGTGCCCAAAGGTCAGTCCGCCTGGACTACTTTTAGCTAAACCTCTCTAAAAAGGTCAAATGTAACTTGTTTTACCTCAATCTTGATACAGGGTACTTATTATATGTTATACTTTGGATTCCTAAATCTTTTAGTCTACTATCCCATCATTCAAGGGTAGTTTTCACTATAAGTAATGGGGGTTTTTTAGGCGGGGGTAAGAATTTACCTTTTTTTTACTATGTTCCATCTGAATTTACTCTGACTGAGAAATATCTATATTGATTCTGACACTTCTACATCCAACTCACAGATGTAACCTTGCTTTGATAAAAGAAATTATTCATATAACCCTTTTAGAAGTTAAGTTATAGTCATTTGTTTTGGGCATAGCATTTTCGAGCCTGAAACCTTAAAAACAGGCTCAGGGCTTAAGAGGTTAAAGACTGTATATAATGACTATTTTGCACATCCCTTTCAAGATTTCAAGATTTTCTAAGGTTTATTGACATATCATAGGCCTACACAACTATGGTGTAGTTCTGCATTGAATGAAAAACTTGGGTCGCAGGTTCCTCAATAGTGCATTACAAGACATCGATCAATATTTGTGCATACCTCCAGCAATGTTAACTATGTTGAAGCACTTATTTTAACTGATATTATACATAATGTATTATACTCTTATAAGATGTATGTAGATATTTCATCTCCGGCCTTGTCAGGTATTGAACAATCAATAAATAAAGAACACAGAATTTGTGTGATTATACTAAATGATTTACAAATAAACACCACTGCATATTTAACTGTTACACATGCTGATGTAACGCAAATGTTCCAACTTGGGATCAATAAAGTATATCTTATCTTAAGCTGATCGATGGCTACTGCCATATTTGCAAAATGTGCCTCTGAACCTTAACAAGTGCATGTTTCAGGCTTATCAATGAATGTAATGTAATGTTATCAATTAACAACAGGGGTCACAAACATAAGACCAGCTGTTAAATAAAGCTCTTCTGACCTTAGCTGGCATGTGTGTATATATATATTAATGCTGCCCATTATGGGAACAAGCAATTTTCACCCATTTATTAATTATATGTTTTACATTTGAGTGTTTCCTATCCCCTAAACCTCCAGGGATGTACACAGTTTAATACTGGCCACTTCTTATTATGGGAAATACGAAAACGTCTTTTAAAACTACAACTCCCAGTAGAGACGTGCCATAGATAGAGAACATGTTGCGAAACAGAATAGCCAGCATGTGTAGTTCTGGGGACAGGGTGGGGGAGGGGGGGACGCGGTGGACCCGTTCAAATCCAGTTTTGGACAGTCTGCCGTGGTTCCATCCCATTTCAAGTGCTGTTCGAGAATCGGCGTAACCCTCGGAGCACACTCTCCAATCACAGAGCTTGAGGACTATCACGGGGTTTGTCAAACAGAGCACATGGTGTAGTCCAAACGATAGCTGGGGATTCTGGGTAGTGTAGTGTCTTCTGCCATCCTTTACTCCGAAAAAATATTTGTTTCTCCGAATCGAAGGGGAAAAATACAAAAGCATTGCACACAATTTAAACCAATCAATGTTGTGTAATTAACAAGGATAAATCTGGTGTTTTTTAGTCGATGAGTAGTGCAGATATCACTGTAAAATCAATCGACAGTAAGAGGAATACTTACTTCCGGGTGTACAATTCTCCGTTATCCAATGGGAATGGACGCTCACATTGCCTTTAAGGGCAGCCGACACAAACGAATGCCGTGCTTCCATGAGCGTCAAATCCCGCCGCAGATGGGAATACATTGCAATCAGTGGAAATCTATTTGCGTCCCTTTATGACGCTGAAGGAGCCTAGGAGCGTCACAACTGGACGCCACGGACACTGACCAAACGTCGCTCCTGGACGCTAAGGAGTGAGAGTGTGTTGCAACGACATGCTGACTGCAGTGGGGTTTGAACCTGTGCTCCCCTGATCCGAACACCAACGCACAACCCACTGCGCCACACGCCGCCCACAGTATTGAATGTTGCTTTGCTTTGGATAAAAGCATCTAACAAGTGACATGCAATGTAAGATGAGCATAACAATTATTATTTGTAGCAGTCTCATGATGTAATTGGGTCCAAAAGGATGTTTATCCCATTGACTAACAGTAAATCAACGTTTATATATATTTTAGGTAAATGGTCCAAACACATGACTAAACTTTATTTAAACCATAAGATGTGAATGAATCTATGCATTTAAATCAAATGTATCTCCCAACTTTATTCATTTGACTGAATAGTGTTGTCGTAGCATCAACACAAGCTCACGGTTCATCATATAAAATAAATACAATCATGATTATTAAAAAGGCAGGTTTTACTAGACAAGTATTTAAATGACAATTCAGTGTTGTGAAATGTAGTTATAATTTTATATAAATATAAAGTCCTTAACTAAAAAGAGTGCACATGGATATTCTTCTATAGAAAAAACGGCTGTGAAATCATTTCGTTTCATTATTAAACTTATTGGTACTTGTGGGTTATCTGTCGCCACTTTTTTTGTTTTTTTCAGGCTAACCCTAACCCCTAGGATTAATGTTTGTTATTTTGAGAAATTAAAAAGTTAATGTGCAGGAGCCAGCTATACCCGCTATTAAAAACTACCAACTTATTTATTATAACATGAAATCATGATATTTACTTAATTTTGACTCAAATCATAATTGTTTTGTTGTATAAATATCAGTATGCTCTCGGACTAAGAGTGTCCAAACTTTTTTCACAGAGGGCCAAATACAGAAAAATATATACGAAGGGCTGGGTCGCTCACTAGAGGTTTTTCGCCTCATAAGTTATAGGTTAGCAAAATCAATGAAATGTAAGTAAATGATGCTTGTGAGTGTTAGCAGCTCATCCCTTAAAACAGAAGCCTCATATTGATTATAATAAGAGTAAATATGAAGGGTGTATTTCAAGCTTATTATGTAAATAAGTCATTGGGATTTTTTCTTATCAACTAAGATATGTTAGAAAAATGTTTCAAGTGGTCTCATTAAAGGTAGGGTATGTAAGTTTCAGAAACCGGCTCGAGATACACTTGTTATATTCCATGGAATGCTCTTACCATCCCGATAGCAATGAATATCTGAAGTGCTTTGACAAAAAATCCATTAAAAAATGTCATCTGTGGAAGCCGTAATACTGTAAAAAGTACAACCAATCGGATTGGATTGCCGCCCTGTCTGTCAGCCTTCCATCTCGTGCACGCACAAATGTATCTCGTGCCATCATTGGGCGTGCCGTCATTGGGCGTGCATTGCGCGTTCAAGTGTGTTGGAGGAGGTGCTCTGTAAGGAAGTCTGAAGGAAGGGGCGGATTCTTTTCGGCTGTGTACTTTCACATTTTAGTGCACTCGAGCCGGTTTCTGAAACGTACCTACCCCACCTTTAACACATGAATACTACTGTGTAATATATTTTTACATTTATATTTAAGAAGTACAGTATAAGACAAGCATACGTTTAATCTGTGGGCCATATTTCATTTTACTTTTTGAATTTGCTGAGGGCTGATTCAAAATGGTCCGCGGGCCGCATTTGGCCCCCGGGCCGGAGTTTGGACAGGATAACTCTAGGATAACAACAATCGACGTCACCACACTGCGACTGCTTCAAATTGGGGCGGAGTCAGGGCGCAGTGTCAACAATAAAATCGCACATTGGTTCATGTATGCAGTCATCCAGAGAGATTCAGCGGCTCTATCTCCACCCTCCACCCGCCTCACGATGGAGGATCTCCCACAGCTGCCTCCGGAAGTCTGGGTGTACATCTTGAGCTTCCTGAGCACCGAGGAGAAACACACGGTGCGCTTCGGGTGCAGACAGCTGAAGGTGCTCATCGATCAGCCGCCTTTGTGGAGGAATCACACCGTGATGCTGTGCGACCTGAGACGATACACCTACGGTTTCTGGGACATGCTGCGACACCGAAAACTTACCCGGGTTGCGGTGCGTCATTTGCGGCGTAAAGAGTGGCGTCGCCTCGTTAAATTCCTCCCGACGCTCAGCGCGGTGGTGTTCGTGGACGGAGGGAGGAAATACAAAGGGAAATACATGGAGAATGTGGCGCACTTTCCCGGGCTGAAGGTGGGGTAAACATAGTGTTAATGTGTGTATTTATTATATCAGGGTCATTAGAGAAAACACAGATATTGTATTTGAATAAAAGTACACAGAATTGGATTGGATACTGGATTACAAGAAGAATAACTCAGGTCTTGTACTTGAGTACAAGTAGTAGTACTCACATCTTGTAGAAGTACTCAGGTCTTGTACTTGAGTAAAAGCAGAAGTACTCAGATCTTGTATTTGAGTAAAAGTAGAAGTACTCAGATCTTGTATTTGAGTAAAAGTAGTAGTACTCACATCTTGTAGAAGTACTAAGGTATTGTACTTGAATACAATTAGTAGTACTCACATCTTGTAGAAGTACTCAGATCTTGTTTTTGTGTAAAAGTAGAAGTACTCAGATCTTGTACTTGAGTAAAAGTAGAAGTACTCAGGTCTTGTACTTGAGTAGAAGTACTCAGATCTTGTACTTGAGTAAAAGTAGAAGTACTCAGATCTTGTATTTGAGTAAAAGTAGAAGTACTCAGATCTTGTATTTGAGTAAAAGTAGTAGTACTCACATCTTGTAGAAGTACTCAGATCTTGTATTTGTGTAAAAGTAGAAGTACTCAGATCTTGTACTTGAGTAAAAGTAGAAGTACTCAGATCTTGTATTTGAGTAAAAGTAGTAGTACTCACATCTTGTAGAAGTACTCAGATCTTGTATTTGTGTAAAAGTAGAAGTACTCAGATCTTGTACTTGAGTAAAAGTAGAAGTACTCAGATCTTGTACTTGAGTAAAAGTAGAAGTACTCAGTTCTTGTACTTGAGTAAAAGTAGAAGTACTCAGGTCTTGTACTTGAGTAAAGTAGAAGTACCAGAGTGTAGGAATACTCTGTTACAGTAAAAGTCCTGCATTCAAAATGTTACTCAAGTAAAAGTAGAAAAGTATTATCATCAAAATATAGTGAAAGTAGCGACCGTAAAAGTCATTAATCCAAATCTTTAAAGTAACTAAAGGTATCAAATACCGTGGAGTAAAAGTACACCATGTAATGCACACTAAAGGGTCTTTGAGCATGTGTTCTCAGTGATTGTGCTGTTATGTTAAATGTTTCCTCACTTTTGTACTTAACCAGTGATTTCTCTCCACACTAAAGGACATCGGGGTGAGGAACGGCACCTGGGAGGAGCCCATGCTGGGGTCCAGTCTCACCTCTAAGCTCCAGGAGCGCCTGACTCACCTGAGCGTGTGCAACGTGAGGCTGCCCTGCTGCGCGCACTTCATCCAGGCCGTGTCTCACCTGGTGAACCTGCAGTACCTGCTGTTCCACCAGCAGGGGGAGGGCTACGGGCTGGACACCGTGAGACCCGTGCCCTGCGAGGTCTTCCACAACCTCCTGCTGAGCCTGAAGAAATTGAAGCACCTGTCCTGGGGGATGAGAGGGGAACCACCTGCACCTCTACCTGACAACTACCTGAGTCCATCAGACCCAGAGAGCCCAGGTGAGACAGAAGGTCATTATTACCTGAGTCCATCAGACCCAGAGAGCCCAGGTGAGACAGAAGGTCATTATTACCTGAGTCCATCAGACCCAGAGAGCCCAGGTGAGACAGAAGGTCATTATTACCTGAGTCCATCAGACCCAGAGAGCCCAGGTGAGACAGAAGGTCATTATTACCTGAGTCCATCAGACCCAGAGAGCCCAGGTGAGACAGAAGGTCCTTATTACCTGAGTCCATCAGACCCAGAGAGCCCAGGTGAGACAGAAGGTCACTATTACCTGAGTCCATCAGACCCAGAGAGCCCAGGTGAGACGGGTCCTTATTACCTGAGTCCATCAGACCCAGAGAGCCCAGGTGAGACAGAAGGTCACCTGTTCTTATCAGCTGCTGAAGTGTCTCTCTTTTACTGCAGAACTCCTGCAATTGTAGTCCCATTTAAATCACAAAAGATAATGACGTTTTGTAAACCATAACATCATTTTAAAAAAAGAGTAAAAGTAGAAGTACTCAGGTCTTGTTCTTGAGTAATAGTAGAAGTACTCAGATCTTGTTCTTGAGTAAAAGTAGAAGTACTCAGATCCTGTACTTTCCGAAAAGTAGAAGTACTCAGGTCTTGTTCTTGAGTAAAAGTAGAAGTACTCAGATCTTTTACTTGAGTAAAATTAGAAGTACTCAGGTCTTGTTCTTGTGTAAAAGTAGAAGTACTTAGGTCTTGTTCTTGAGTAAAAGTAGAAGTACTTAGGTATTGTTCTTGAGTAAAAGTAGAAGTACTCAGATCTTGTTCTTGAGTAAAAGTAGAAGTACTTAGGTCTTGTTCTTGAGTAAAAGTAGAAGTACTCAGATCTTGTTCTTGAGTAAAAGTAGAAGTACTTAGGTCTTGTTCTTGAGTAAAAGTAGAAGTACTCAGATCTTGTTCTTGAGTAAAAGTAGAAGTACTCAGATCTTGTACTTGAGTAAAAGTAGAAGTACTCAGATCTTGTTCTTGAGTAAAAGTAGAAGTACTCAGATCTTGTTCTTGAGTAAAAGTAGAAGTACTTAGATCTTGTACTTGAGTAATAGTAGAAGTACCAGAGTGTAGGAATACTAAAGTAAAAGTCCTGCATTCAAAATGTTCCTCAAGTGAAAGTAGCGACAGTAAAAGTAGTCATTGTGCAGATTGGTCCATTTCAGAATAATAGATATGATATGTTTTCTAATGATTGATCATGAAAGTGTTCTCAAAGCTCTCAAACTCCCTCTCTTCCTGTAAAGGTGTTCCCAGCTACGGAGGTCCGGCGCTCACCAGTCTGGAGCTGGTGGATTACCCAGAATGCATCCTGCCAGAGAACGCCCTGCAGAGCTTCTCGTCTCTGCGCTCTCTCACTGTTCGGTACAGATACATCAGAGAGGGCATCGAGTGCCGCCTTGCCTCCTGGCTGAAGCCCCTGCAGCAGCTGGAGACCCTCTGCATCGTCGGTGAGCACAGATCACATGGTTCTGAGAGAGGTTTGGTTATTTCCTCAAGAACGGGAAGTAGTGGAGTACAAATACTTTGTTACTGTACTTAAGTAAATGTTTCTGGTATCAGTACTTTACTCCACTACTTATTTTTCTGACTACTTTTTACTTACATGTTGAACAGTAACACTAATACCTGTACTTTCTACTTCTCACATGTTGAACCCAAATACCTGTACTTTCTACTTCTTATATGTTGAACCCAAATACCTGTACTTTCTACTTCTCACATGTTGAACCCAAATACCTGTACTTTCTACTTCTTACATGTTGAACCCAAATACCTGTACTTTCTACTTCTCACATGTTGAACACAAATACCTGTACTTTCTACTTCTTACATGTTGAACCCAAATACCTGTACTTTCTACTTCTCACATGTTGAACACAAATACCTGTACTTTCTACTTCTTACATGTTGAACCCAAATACCTGTACTTTCTACTTCTTACATGTTGAACCCAAATACCTGTACTTTCTACTTCTTACATGTTGAACACAAATACCTGTACTTTCTACTTCTCACATGTTGAACTCAAATACCTGTACTTTCTACTTCTCACATGTTGAACTCAAATACCTGTACTTTCTACTTCTTACATGTTGAACTCAAATACCTGTACTTTCTACTTCTTACATGTTGAACTCAAATACCTGTACTTTCTACTTCTCACATGTTGAACACAAATACCTGTACTTTCTACTTCTCACATGTTGAACACAAATACCTGTACTTTCTACTTCTAACATGTTGAACCCAAATACCTGTACTTTCTACTTCTTACATGTTGAACTCAAATACCTGTACTTAGGGCTGGGCGATTTTTTCGGTTTTAACGATTAATTTGCATTTTTACTTTCCTACGGTTTGTGAAATGGCTGAACCGAAAAATCGCGATTTAAAAACATTTCTAGACTCCGCGGATTTGTTTTGCTTTAAGGGACTCCGTAATAGCTTACTCTCTGACTTTCCAGAACGCGCACAAAACTCAGCCACACTGTGACTACCCGATCTGCAGCTCTGTGTACACATATATCACTTAAATTATTCAATACATCCTTTGTACTGAAGTATTCAAGAGTAAATAAAGTAAATAAAGTTTAATATAAATGATTTGCTGTGGCCAATTGTTTTCATTGCATTTACAGACCCGTGTAAATCTCTGATACCACCCAATGAATGCATTGACTTGCTTGTAGAACCACGCTACACAAAACAGATAGCAACACCTATACAAACTATTTCAAAAAAAAAAATTTAAAAAAAAGGGGCTACTGTATCGACCTATATAAAGTATATAAATATATATATTTTTTCAAAATACCAAAAATATCTTGCATTTTAGCCATGCCTCATTTCGCTCTATTTGCTCTTTCCAGCGCTGTTTTTGCAGGGGCTGATTCTTTGAGCTGCAGCTGACCACGCCCCCCTGCAGGAGAGGGGAGCGTGCTCTGAGATCAGCTGCTGGGCGGTCTGTAGAGGGGGAGGAAAAGAGATCTCCGTCCTCCGTGTTTTATTCTTATAGAAGTAAGAAGAGAAGTAACGGGGCAGAAACCCTCCTCGTTACGCAGCGGTCCAGACATAGACATCAAACGGCGACACATATTCAGTTGGCAGTTACTTTGGCATTAGGGCAGGGGTATCTAGATACTTTCCAAGGTCTGACATAATGAATTGTGCTACTTTTAAAGCAAGCAGCGATGTTTCAAATCTGTAATCAAAAAGCTCCTCAAAAACGCTATCGAAGCAGTTCCTGCCGTTGCTACGTTAGTTCAAACGGTAACAACGGACTACTTTTCTTAGCGGATGCATGTCAATTTAAATCAATACATAAAACTATTTTTTAAATCAATAAAATCATTTTCTAAATCCATAAAAGCATTTCAATTAATATTAGGAGTCATGTCGTTACTTTGTTGAGAATGTGGCCGTGTGATAAGCGGGATAATGTGCACATTGCATAATGTGCCTTCAAGCCGATCTAGATCCCTCCGCAAAAAAAACCGGCTCGTTCGCGGGCGAGAGCCGGCTCCCGTCGTTCACTTAAAAGAGCCCGCTCTTTGTAGAAAGGATGTGTGTACTTTTGCCCTCTCTGGCCAGATGTTTAACGTGTCTCTTCCTCTGTGTTCTCTCTCCTCTCAGGGGGAAACTCTCTGGCCGCCTACACCACCACCATCCCCTCCAGTGTGTCCCGCCTCACGCTCAGAGTGGCTATAACTCTGAAGGACATGGACTCCATCGCTCCCAAAGTCCCGGCTCTGGAGCATCTGGACATCGAGCAGAACAGATCCAGCGGGAGTCTCTGCAGACGGATCCCCATGCTGTTCCCTCAGCTCAAAACGCTCAGGATACGGTGAGAAAAACAAGATTCAGCTTTTAACACTGGAACGATCTGACCAGTGAGGACAGCATTCGTTCTTAGGGTGATTTGAAAACATCTAGTCTAGGGACTACAGAGGAAATCAAATGTGCTTCTTGGCCAACTCTGGTGCATTTACAGCAGGGTTTATTAGTGTGCGTTGTCCCCGTTGAATACACGTCTCTCCTTATTGCTGCCTGTTGGCACAGGATGTTCTGCAGGGACATCTGGCAGTCCATCATATCGGTTACGTGTCTCTCTTTTCTCAGATAGGGACAGGAGCTCTAGTGCTTTGCTTGTTGTGTCTGCTCATGCAGAATGTAGATTATTCTCCTAACAATAGGTAAACACTTAGGACTGGATTGTTTGGGCTCTCTCTTAACGGGGTTATTCGTCTCTAATTCACGCGTGTCTTCCAGGGAATTATAGTGTAAACTTGTTGGCTGCATGCTCTGAAAAGAGGGAAGTATTCTTGTGTCTTTTATAAACTTTAACCAGAACTTAAACTTCTAATGGAGCTATAAAGTGTCTCGCTGTCGTGGCGCTTGGTACTCTCAGACTATTGTTCCGGGACACATTTCAATTATGCAACAACAAACTATTATTAGCCTTAGAAACATATTAATTATGTTTAAATGACAACCACGTAACTCACACCTTCCGTAGGAAACACTGCAACAAACACTGGATTTCTCACTGTTCATGACTGTTAGGAAACTCACTGGTCCCCGGCTTGAGCTTCAATCTCAGGATCCGTGTATCTGTGATCCTCTCCAGAATGGAAGTAGTCATCACAAACAGAGCATCAACTAGTTCCTGAACAGTGTCCTTCACATGCTGTTGCCGAAACCCTAGTCCATGCGTTCGTCACCTCCCGCTTGGACTACTGCAATGGTCTCCTGTTTGGGGTCGCCAACAAAACCCCGGACAGGCTCCAGTATGTCCAAAACTGTGCTGCTAGGGTACTCACGCATACAAAGCTGTGGCAGCACATCACTCCCACCCTCATCCACCTCCACTGGCTGCCGGTCAAGTCCCGCATATCATTCAAAATCCTCCTCCTTACCTACAAGTCCCTCCATGCCCTTGCCCCCCAGTACCTATCGGACATCCTTCACCCACATGCCCCACCCCGGAACCTGCGGTCCTCAGACTCTGGCCTGCTTACCAACCCCCGCACCAAACTGCGAACCTTCGGGGACAGAGCCTTCAGCGTGGCAGCCCCTCCCCTCTGGAACGCTCTCCCTGCGAAGATCCACAACATCCCCACACTTGACGCCTTCAAAAGGGCCCTCAAGACCCATCTGTTCACTAAGGCCTTTGGCCCCAAATCTATTTGTTGTTTTGTCTGTCTGACTGGTTGTCTGACTGCCTTTTGTTTTGCCCTGTTCTTCCTTGTAAAGCGACCTTGGGTCTCATGAAAGGCGCTATATAAATCCAAGCTATTATTATTGATATACGAGAGAGGGAGTTACACAGTCACAAGATGGAGGAGTACATCATACATCCAGTCATGTACAAAATACTGACTTTTTCTCAATCTAAAAAAATCTACATTTTTTTTTTCTCTTCTAAAAATGATGTCTTTGATCTCAAAATTAAAAAAACTCACCCGTCCTCTCTCTGTTTCTCAGGTTTTTCCGCAGAGAGCCGGAGAAAGACCTCCTGAGCCTCCATCGCCTGCGGCACCTGGTGCGGCTGGAGCTCCTGGTGGAGAGGTCCTTCATCCTGAGAGACTACCTGAACGGACACCCCTGGCCCAGCCCCTGCGTCCAGGAGCACATCAACCAGCTGAGAGAGCTGTCGGAGAACCGCATCACCGTCATCACCACCATGAGGCGGAGGAACCCTCTGAGGGAGTGTGACTGTGTGTGGGAGGGAGACTGAGGGGTGGGTGGGTGGGTGGGGGTAGTTTCCTCTCTGAGAAGAAAGAAGACTGTGGATTTGTTTTTGTTTTAAATAAACGTCCTTATTTGCAGCATTTGTACTGCAAACATACTTTTAAAGAGTCCCTATCATACTTTGTTCCCTCTCCTGTAGTGAGTTATATATATTTGTGTGCATGTTAATGGTCTGCAAAAGCTCAAATCCCAAAGTTCCTGAACATATGACATCACAATGTAATACTCGCGCTCCTATTGGCTAGCGCTCTGACACATGATAGGCTAAGGGGTGGGACATCTTTAAGTGGTTGACCAATCACAAGAGAGCAGTAGCTCAAAAGGAAGTGTTTTGTTTTTTACAACTATACAAATCCGTCTTTCCCTTTATTTCAGTGTCAATCTGAAAAGTATTCTCCGCCCTTTCTTAAATGAGCCCGCACTGATGTTTTTTTCATTGGTGTAATATCTGTTATTGTCCATAGTTGATTTAGCAGTTCCTTTGTTATTGATTGATTGAGGTTAGCAGCAGTTATGCAAATGAAAAATAAGCTTAGCTGGAAAACTTCTTTCATGTTTTCATGGTCCTCACGTTCAGAAAGTGAAGCTGGATTGTCGTCTGTTTGCTGAATCACATGAAGGTCAATTGTGTTTTATTCCAACCCAGTCTCACGGCATTTCGTGTTCACCAACACGATTTCCCCCTTTTTTTCGTGTTGCACAGCACGATTTAAAAAGGAATGTATTTCTACTGGTAATGTGTTTCGTGCCTGCAGCACGTCTTTTTCTCCGGTCGGGTCGTGGAAGACCGGAAGCTGTGTGGTTCATAAAAACATGTTCTTACTCAATATCAAGCCACAGTTATTGCTTTTATTTTAAATCGTATAATTTCTGCCGTCTGTGAGGAAAATAAATGGCTCAGAGCCTCAGGATACTGAAATCTGTATTTTTCTACATATTTTTTTCCTTCTAATTTGTTATTCTTTTCAAAATAACACACTGTTATTTACTCACCAATAACACACAATTATCCTTGCTTTTATTTATTGGTTTAATTCCATAATCTCGGGCTTTTTTGGCGTCCGTCAGGTAAAAATAACCGGAAACAGACATAGGCATTTCGAGCGATTACCCAAGATCCTCAGCTATGGTTTAAGCTCGCTGATTGGATGTTTTTGCCGCATGCATGCTGGGATTTGGTGTTTATATGATATAAAATCCGGAAAACATTTTAAAAGAATAAAATAATACTTAATTCCGAGTGTTCTTGCTTTTCTCTTTGAAGGTCATCACATAACGGCATTGTAATACACGGTTCGGCTGCATTACATATTACATATCTGTGCAAATAAAATACAGATTTCAGTATTCTGAGGCTCTGAGCCATTTATTTTCCTCACAGACGGAAACAAATGTCCGAAATTATACGATTTAAAATAAAAGCAATAATTGTGGCTTGATATTGAGTAAGAACATGTTTTTATGAACCACACAGCTTCCGGTCTTCGTCGACCCGACCGGAGAAAAATACGTGCTGCAGGCACGAAATACATTACCAGTAGAAATACAAAAGGGGGAAATCGTGTTGGTGAACACGAAATGCCATGAGACTGGGTTGTTTATTCATAATAAAATGATCCTGAATTTCATTTGGCATTTGTTTTGTTTGTCCTTCTTTCATTTATCTTTTTCCTCCCCGTAGGATTTATTTATAATAATGTAGACGTTTGTAATGAAAGAGACTTACGGCCCGTCCACACAGCGGCGTGCGTTGAAGCTTCCAACGCTTCTGCCCATTCACTTTGAATGGGGTGACGTCACTTTTAGCCGAACTGCATCGTGGGAAGTGACGCGGAGCGTTGCTGGCGTGGCTCGCTGCAAAAGTTGAGCAATGTTCAACTTTTCACGCCTTGGCAGAAGCGTCAGCCAATCGAATCATATGCCAGTACAAGCTCTAGCCAATCAAACCGCTGCTTGTGTGTCAGGGGCGGGAGATTCATGTGATTGGTTGTTGGTCAAGTGTCAGACACGCCCGCCGGCAAGCGTCAACGCACGCCGCTGTGTGGACGGGCCGTTACGGCCCCTACACACAGCAGCGTGCGTTGGCGGTGGGCGACGCGTGTCTTGAGCTTGGGGAGTCAACGCGAGCAACGCGACCAACAACCAATCATATGAATGTCCCGCCCCGGACATACAAAGCAAAGCTCATGCTACATCCATGCTGGCTAAATATACTGTCTATGCTTGCTAGCTGTCCATTCAAACGAAGTACACTGGATATAAACTCCCCAAACAGGCGAAAACCTACCAGTTTCACCCACTGTCTCTGCCACCTCCCCCCATGCCTGGCTCCTCCGGTTTGTATCCCTGTATGTAAAGAGGGACTGGTCATATAGTACCGCCATGATCATTTTCTCCTCCATTTTTTTACATATGGGAAATAACTGCGGTCTGGCTCTCCCAACATACACGCGGTTTGATTGGCTAGCGCTTGTATTGTCAGATTTGCATACGCAGGATTTGATTGGCTGACGCCTCCGTCGAGGCGGCAAAAGTAGAACATTGCTCTACTTTTGCAGCGAGCACCGCGAGAGAAGCTACGCTTTGCTCCCACAATGCAGTTCGGCGAATCGTGACGTCACCCCATTCAAAGTGAATGGGCAGAAGCGTTGAAGCGGCAACGCACGCCGCCGTGTGTAGGGGCCGTAATAGCACCGTCCACACGGCGGCGTGCGTTGAAGCTTTTAGCCGAACTGCATTTTGGGAAGCGATGTGGAGCGTTGCTCGCTTCAAAAGTTGAGCAATGTTCAACTTTTGACGCCTCGCCGGAGGCGTCAGCCAATGAAATCCCGTTTATGCAAATCTGCCAGTACAAGCGCTAGCCAATCAAACGCTAGCTAGTATGCTGGGAGAGACTACGCAGGTCATTTCCTCATATTCCAAAAAATGGAGGGAAAATTGATTATAGCGGTAGTCAATTCAATTCAATTCAAAACCTTTATTTATCAGGTAAAATCCCATTGAGATCAATGATCTCTTTTTCAAGGGAGACCTGCAGCAGTAGGTTCCACAAGAAGACATGAAAACATAAACAACAGAACAACAAAAGGACATCATACAGCAAAATGTACAGGGATTACAATTTACATATCTAACCACAAGTACAGGTACCAACAGCATCTGATTGAGTAGCATCCAACCGAGCTTTAAAAACATGTAGTGGTACTAGCTTGGTAATTTTCCATTCTTTTTGCAGACTGTTCCATGTTAGTGGAGCTGCACATCTAAAAGCTTTCTTCCCTAAGACAGTCCTAGCACTTGGCACATTTAATAAAACCACAGCATGCGATCTCAGGCAATAAGTACTTTCAATTCGCAGATAGATCAGGGAGCAGATATAAGATGGTAGTTTATCCAACATGGCTTTGTAAATGAAAAAGTACCAGTGACTGAGCCTCCGTACAGTAAGTGATGGTATACAGGGTACAGTGATGCGTAAGTGCTTTACAATTTGTCAAAAATCTCAGTGCACTGTGATACGCAGCATCTAACTTGATCAGGTAATGGGCAGGTGCATTCATATACATCAAATCACCATAGTCCAGCACAGGTCAAAAGGTCACAGAGCCTTTTCCTGGCCTCAAGCGAGAAACAGGACTTGTTCCTGTAGAAGAAACCTAGCCTAACCCTCAGCTTTTTAAGCAGGTTATTGACATGAAGTTTAAAAGTGAGACAGTCATCAAGCCAGATACCAAGGTATTTGTAACAGGTAACAACTTCAAGTTGTATTCCTTGCGTAGTTACAATATCCAAAGTAGTCTCTGGTGTATTTTTAGCTTTAGCTTTAGAAAAGAGCATTACCTTGGTTTTATCCACATTTTAAAGAAGCTTTAGTTCAGAGCTGAGTCTGAATAATGTTAAAAACAGCCTGTAATTTAACAACAGCCTCCTGAATGGAGGGACCTGCACAGTACATCACGGTATCATCAGCATACAAATGTAAAGTAGCTTCATCCACATTTTCACCTAAACTGTTGATATGGAGAATAAAAGTGGACCTAAAACAGAACCTTGAGGAACACCATTAGTGATGTTTAACCACTCAGAAGACAGCCCATCAAAATGAACACATTGGGACCTTTCAGAGAGGTAGTTCACAAACCACCCACTGCATGGCTAGACATGCCTATACTGACCAGCCTCTGCTTTAAGATGTGATGATCGACGGTATCAAACGCTTTGGATAGGTCAACAAATAGAGCTGCACAACTCTGCTTATTATCTAAAATACTCGCCACATCATTCACCACTTTCATTGTGGCAGTGATGGTGCTGTGTTGCTTTCTGAAGCCTGACTGATGTTTAGACAGGATGTCATTGTTACATAAAAACTCCTTTACCTGTTCACTCACTAAGCGTTCAAGAACCTTAGCCAGAACTGACAACTTAGAGATGGGCCTATAGTTGTTTAATAAGGTGGCCTCCCCTCCTTTTAGCAAAGGCAGGACATACGCTGACTTCCATACTTTTGGAATTGCATTTGTGCTGAGGGAGAGGTTAAAAAGAGTAGTGAGAGGTGGAGCAATACAATCTGCAGCTATCTTTAAAAAGAAAGGTTCTACGTTGTCCGGGCCGGCCGGCTTTTTAGGATCTAGCTTGGTTAAAGCTTCACGAACAACATCAACCGTAAAAGGAGTAAAACTGAAAGGGTTTTCCAGACCACATTGTTCAGAGTCACGGATTGGGGTGTTCACAGAAGCAGAGTTAGAAACAGAATGAAACAGAGAGCCACAGGACACAAAATGCTCATTAAAACAATTTAGTATGGTGGCCCTATCCGATATAGAGCCAGATGCTGTGGTGAGGCACGGAGGTAGCTCATTACGGATCTCACCGGTGGATATCGATTTTATGGCTTTCCAGAATTTTCTAGGGTTGTTCAGGTTCTTTGTGGTAACTGACAGATAGTACTTAGATTTAGCACTTTTGACATGTGAAGTGAAGCTATTCCTTAGCTGCCTGAAACGCAGCCATTCTACCTCTGAGCCTGATTTCCTAGCCTTTGCCCAGGCCTTGTTTCTCTCATGAAGGAGACTAGACAGCTCAGCAGAAAACCAAGGATGGTCTCGTCCCTTTACTCTAAATGTACGCAGGGGTGCATGTCTATCAATGATCTCCATAAAACCAAGATAAAAATAAGACCATGCAGTTTCAACATCAGCACACAAATCGATTTTTCCCCAATCAAACCCAAACAGATCATGAACAAAACCCTGCTCCACAAAATGTTTTTTGTCTCTCTTGATGATAATACGAGGTTTAACCTTTTGGACCTTAGTGTCCCTAATTGTGGTTACAACACAGTGGTCGCTCAGATCATTCTCAAATACTCCCACAGATGAGTATTTATAGGGAGCATTAGTTAACATGAGATCAATTGGGGGAGGATTTATTAGGGGACTTAATGTTAGGGCGAGTAGGACTGTCAACAATCTGAGTAACATTTAAAGAGATACAAAGGTTTTTGAAATCCTCTGACACTGCAGTTAACCAGTCCCAGTTAAAATCTCCAAGTAGCACTATTTCCTTGTAGTCTAGTTGCGATAAAAGATTTGCTAGTGAAGACAAGGAGTCTTTGACAGCTGAGGGGGGTCTGTAACAGCCCACCACCATGACCTGTTGCCCCTTTGCCACTTCTATATTTAAGGCTACAAATTCAAATTGCTTACTGATAGATTTGGAAACTACAGCGGTTACACTGAACTTATTCT